CAGGCCTCATACATACTGTCTTCTATACAACAACAGGCTGTTTTCGGCACACTGTTTTCTAAGTGAAACCATACAAATCCTCTGGAGAGCTCAATGGGGGCTAAAGACAAAACTGTTTTTGCATTCCTCCCGGAGTGGTGGTGGTGTTGGCTAACCTAAACCCTGCATAGAAGATCATTCATCTGCTGTACTTTTGAGGCTCAGGGATTGACGAGTTGTTCCCAGTGGTATGGGTCGTGGAGTATTTTGTTTTTCATAAAGTGACAATAAATCTTTTCAGAGCGAGTAATAAAGTTATTTAGAATCATGCAGATGTTGCATAGGAACAAAACACCATAACAAAGTCTCTTGTTCTGTAAGTACGTCCCCAACAGGCTGTTTGGGGGGCTTGATACTAACAATTTTGCTGTCACAGAAGAGGCAAGAATTAATGAATTATAAACTCACTGGGTGTCCTTGCTGACTCACATTTCGAAAGAATTCATGCATACATAACCGCCAGTTATTCACGAACATGATCAGATGACGTAGGCAAATTGTAAAAGCAGTCTAACTGGTATAACCTCCAAGAAATAAAAACAAGTCCAGAAATGTGACAGATTCTCTGTTGGTACAAATGTTCTGTCAGCACCATCAATCAAGCGGTGCCACTCTGCCCCGAAGGCAAACCACACTGGCATCAAACCGAGGAGGGCACAGAGTGGAAAGCTTGCTTTAAAACACACACCCAAGAAAATAGACCACGGCCTGCTGTTGTAAATCACATGCACACCAAAGACTTTTGAAGAATTAAAAAAAGGAATGTATGAGTTATAACAAATAAACATATAAATAACTATGGCATTTACAGAGCAGTTACTGTGCACAAGGGATTGTGTTGGTAAATTTAATGGTTATTATAAACGTATTGTATCATGTCATTACAGGGAGGAAATTATCTCTATTTTGGATGACAATAAAAGAGTTGCCATGTTGTAATTATTGCTATTGTGTGACTTCTCTGTCTGACACATGCACTATATACTGTACACAGATCAGACGTGAAATCAATATAGAGCCAGGATTTGACTAAAATAACACTTCATGTTAGTTTGAGTTTATGCAACAATTTCCTCTCATTTGTGTTCTACAATCATGATTCAGCTCTGGGTTTTGATTTATTGCTCTCTCCAGTAATAAAACACTACCAGTATAATGTTAATAGATAAGAATGCCATAAACAGCTCAGAGGAGAATCAAAAGGTTGACTAATTTAGTTTATCCGCAGTGATTATTGCATGTCTGCAAACTTGACTAAATATTAAAATGGCTTTTAGTTGTTACCTGTGTTATTAAGAAGTTTTTTGCAAAAAGAAATGCAAAAAATCTTAATTTAATGGCCTAGTGTGTAGGATTTAGTGGCATCCAGCAGTGTAGTTGCAGATTGCAACTAACTTACCTCACCCTCCCGTTTCAAGAGTCGTAGTGAAACTACAGTGGCCACGAAACTCGCAAATAAACATGAAAGGCCCTATCTAGTGTTTGGTTTGTCTATTATGGGCTACTTTAGAAACATGCCATTCAACATGGAGGCCCCCTTAAAAGAGGACCTGCTCCCTCTGTAGATAAAAACCACTTGATGTCCAAAAACAACTCATATGCAATAACCTTGTAATACCAACTCATGTTACTGTACATATTGTAAAGTATATTACTATGAACTGTACATAGTAACCTTTTACTGTCACTTGTTGGTCTGTACATAGTCAGTGGCCACTTTATTAGGTACCCCTGTACAATCTATTGCAATTCAAAACAACAGCTCTACAATAAATCTGCCTAAATATGTGATGTTCAGTTGTTGTTGACAGAAATGTTTAAATGTCTATGTTTATTACTGATGTCATAAAGATGGTGGTGGGCTGGATTACGTTAAACTGAGAGGTGTTTCTAATTCTTTGTCATAATATTACAAACACCTCTGAATATAAAGCAGTCCAGTATAACCCCAACACTAACTACAACCTCAATGCTAAAACATGTAATTGAATTAACTACTATAAGACAGTGTAAAAAGAAAAGGCATCATAGAAGAAAACATAATGGCATTAAATTGTGCAGGTGCATCTGATAATGTGGCCACTGAATCTACTTGTCAACAGACACACACACATCCTGCATCTGTACAGAGAGAAACTTATTATATATCCTTTCATTTTATTCAATTTTCTTTGCACACACTTGAATTTCTTGTAATGCACAGACATTGCTCAACAACAATTACTCTATACATTAATGCTGTATATATTTGTTGTCTAATTGTTTATGTAGCCTACATGAATATATCTATTTTCATACCTCTTACCTCTACATAAAATCTATATGTATGTCTGCTTATCTTTGTTTAACCTTGTTGTCTTTGTTTAGTTTTGTTTCATGAGAGCTCAAAACTGGAGTCAAATTCCTTGTATGAGCCAATAAAGTTGATTCTGATATTAAGTGCATATGGGAAATGTGACCATATGCTGTGTGTTAAAAACATGTTAAACTTCCAAAATAAAAGAAATATCATTAAAAAAAACTTGCAATGCATCTGCCTTTAACAGTTAATTCTCAGTTCCTCAGACAAAGAAGAGTAAGACTGTTCCTGTCTCAGGCTCTTCAGAGTTGTCTATAACACATATTTGATATTCCATCCACACGTCTCCAAGCTGCACCAGTTTCAATTCTCTCTCTCAGGTCCCATTTACAGTGTCCCACGAGGTGCCTCCAGCAGGGCATGTTTCTCTCTGTGGGGTCACTCTCTCTTGGACTGGCCTTTCATGAAAACAACTGTCAATATGTTAATATGAACACTCAGAGCCATTGTGGACTCACTCAGTTACTCCTCTTATCCTTCACAATTCTCTGCTGTGCCACAACAACAACGTCCACTCCCAGGAGATTTTGCAAGAAGATTTGTTAAAAGAAATAAATGTGATCTAATTTGTGTCATATTTCCCCACAATAATGCTAAAAGAAAGCTATAAGATCTGTGTGTAGCCTATATTTACAGTTATATATATATCACACTGAATCCTTATAGATGTGCTCAAACTCCCACTGGGTAATTGCTCCACAGACTTCACAGATTTCTCTCATGAGGTGAATACAAGGTCTGTCAATACAGTCTCATTTCCTTTGTTTGCAGCTCGAGCTGGAGACAAAGCTCACATGTCTGAAGACAGACACCATGGCAGTTATGTGTCTCATGTAGGCCACTGCGTCCACCAAGGTGTTGCATTTGTGCTGCTTTTGGGATATTTGACTTTTTCCTTTAACTTGGAGGTCTTTGTAGAAATTGTTGATACGTTTCCAAGGACTCCTGGAGTAAGACAGACATAGCTGCAAGGTTTTTCTAAAGCTGTTTCCATTGGCCTGTGTTTACCTGACACTTGGATTGACAGCAGAGTGATTGGAAATATCCACCATTCACTGCCGTGAGCTCCTGAGTGCACGGAAAGTGCTTTTGTAGTCTGGCTGTAATGGGCCAAGTTTGAATTGAAGGTTGAGAGAAATAGCCTCACTGCGGTCGCGCACTGTGAGGAACTGACACACCACAAATAATACTCAGAAGTGGGCTCCTGATAGCATCACAGGCACAGAGCAGGTACAATAGCATGCAGGCTCTCATTTCAATGCACTTTCACAATGTTGTACTGTGCACAATCAGATGGAGGGGAAGAAATGCAGTCAAATACAAACTCAGATTGTGTCTCGATTGTGGTTTTTCTCTCTCTCTCTCTCTCTCTCTCTCTCTCTCTCTCTCTCTCTCTCTCTCTGAGTAATCAACACAAAAAAAACACATGAGAGCAAACCCATTATGATAAACTGAATCATGGCAGAATTCAGATTCTTCATAGAGTCATAATTTCATGTGTCAGTGTCATAAATAGAGTAAATCTGTTCTATAAACTTAAAAATAGGGATTCACTGACCTAATCTGATCTGCCATGACTTAATCAAGTTTCATTATAAAATGTAGTGTTTCCTCTGCTAGCTACATTAATGTAGTCACAGCTTGCCATCAACTCAGTTTCTACAGCCACAGCGATCCCATGCCCTCTGCTACCTAAATGTTTACAATGAGCACTACACAGTGAGGTGTAAACACGCCAAAAAGAGACCTCTGGTATTGAATCCCTGAGTATCGGAATCGCTACTCGGGGAGAAAAAGTTGGATTGGGGCATTAAATCTGAAATTGAATCTGCTCGGAATGTAGACTACCTGGTTTTGTGTTTTCACGCCCAATCACAACACTTGATACACACTTCTGCAAAAGGCTATGCTGAATACTACCATCATTAGTATTTAAGTAGTCCTTTAATCAATGATGATAGAAGGAAAGGTGGTGACACACAGCTTAAGGCTACAGGTCGGAGTTCAAAGCCAAGGACTCAGGATTGGTACAGGTGAGCTACCAGGACACACTGTCATCAGCATTTTGGTGCCGTTTGACACAGTGTGCAACATCTTATTGATCAATGTTGTATTTTAAAGACACATATAAGTTGCCACATGTTGTGTGAATACACCTTGTAACACAAACGAAGAAGAAAAGAGCTCGGGTTCGGGGTTTGCTTTGACCTGTGAAACTAACAGAGATGTATTTCCTGGAAAATGAAAATGCTCCTTTGTGTTTAGGATGAGTCAAAAGCATAAGATGAATTTCATGTAATTGTCAGATAATGTGTCTGGGTATATATCAATATGGCCTCTACTTGGTATTTTACACAATGCAACAAGCTGCCTGGTAACAACAACGTAACTGAGAGTAAACAATGCAACTACAATCCTCACTACACTACTATCAACACCAATACTGTAAAACTCAAAATGCATAATAAACAGGAAAAGAATCCAACAAAGGATGATTGACGTCCCGACCGACCAATCAGAACGCGGCGTGCAAAACGAACAACCAATCAGCTCCGCGAAGGACGGCGGGATTTCCTGTGTGTGACGCAAATACTCCCAGTCAACAGTGGAGGCCCCACCCTTTGTGTAACCTACCGCCCGTCAATCAAAATATAAAAACATTCTGACACTTATCATCTGTTTCTGCGCGCAAACAATCAACTCAATCAGCTGATCATGTCCGGTGGCTGCTGACCATCAGGACTCTTCGTGTCACGACGAGTCACGCAATGACCGGTATGTAACATCTGCCCCTGTTCACCACCGAGAGCTAACAGGCTAACAGGCTAACAGGCTAACAGGCTCAATTAGCGGGCTAGCAGGTTAGCAGGGATGCTAGTCGGCGATACTGCTAATCAGCGCAGGCTAAGCTAGCAGCGGCGGCTAACGCTGCTAGCTTAGCCTGCGTGGGACTCACTGCTCGTGTCTTTTAAACTAATTATAGCTACACCGCTGCTTCCGTAATGGAGGTCGGTGCCGTCGGTGGCGGCGGGGTTGTGAGTTTAATGTTCGCTAAAGCTACTGACGGTCCAGGTGTTAGCCCTCTGTGTAAGACTCTGGTTTGTTTAGCTAACGTTAGCTGCGGCTGTTCCCTGCTCTTAGCTATTCTGCTTTTTGCTACACAGCCCCAGAACAGCGGATGAAATCAGAGGATATGGCAGCCTTGGACGTGGACAGCAGTCAAAGCGACTTCCTGCAGCAGCAGCAGGAGGTGGAGGGGGGGGGCAGGGGCAATCAGGTAAGAGTTCCCCCTCGGGATTATGACTCTCATTATACATCGTTGCTGCGTTTCCAGTACCTGAGTGGTGCTTACTGAAGTTCACAGTGTTTCAAACTTGAAGCGGGGGGATTGTGCCCTGATTTGAACCTCTCAGGCTGCTCACGAATCCCGCCTCCTTAACTGTGGTTGTGGATCAAACGTAAACATCACCTGGGTGTTATCCTTGGTGCTGCCTGGGGGGCTCAACACAGGACAAGAAAGACCTCCAAACTTCTGACTTTGCTCTTTGGCAATGAGTCACACTTTCTCTGTGGCCCAGACTAATGGCCACCCACTTTCTTCCTTTTAAACTCGCCCGTTGTGGGTAGGACACTCAGCCATCACCCCTCGACCTGCTCGCAACCACCTGCACTAAGGTTGGCTCACCGGCGTCAGAGGTGGACAGAGGTGCTGCCGCTGATGTGGTAAGTCGGCACCTCTGTTAGATCCGACACAGCTACAGCAGAAGTGAAGCCTTCAGTCACAGCTGAGCAGCAGTGGTGGTGGTGGTGGGAGTGAAGCTAAGGTTGCACTTGCTTTCATGGAGTTATAACCTGTGCATTTTTGGCATCCAAACAGGAGGATCTCTCTAATGGCAATGTTTATTTTGTTTTGTTTTTCCATCTAAAACTACATAAATAGACTCTGTAATGGCATCCATACCCTTCTAGTCATGTGTCAGGTCCTTAATAGACCACATTTACTGGTGCTAAACCCAGAGGCCTCTGGTTATTACATATTCAGTGCAAGTAGAGTTACTGCTGGAAGGACTGTGTAAAAAAGACCTTCCGTTTTTGATGTAGTTTACACAGCTGGCAACTCATTATAATGCTTCAAGCTTAATTTGGTATGCACTCTGATAAAACAGCAAACATAACCCATAAACCACAAGTACATCAGGGAAAATGAAGCTCTTTAACAACTCAAGATGAGTTAATGTAGGTCAAGATGTTTCTGTTGTTACACTTGGTTCTGAATTTGTCCTTACTGATGAGATTCTTCATTGGCAACCGTGTGGGTTTATGTTTTTGTTAACATAGAGTTAGCTGAATCAGGATTTTAAGATATTCTTCAGACCATTATTGGGGTGTAAATGTATTTATAAGTGTACTTTATGACACACATACATTTTGATAATAAAAATATAAAATAGGGCTTATTGTTTGTTTCTTTATTGTATTTTATTATGGAATAGTGAGATTGCATCCTGGGTGAGTTTAGTGCATATAATTACTAAATCTTTCTTTCCATCAAAATTAAATGGGACCAAAACACTGCTGAGAATCTACAGGTCCAATAAAAGTTTGTATTTACAGTAAATTAACACTTCATTACAGGCAAAGTAGAGAGAAGGAAACTGAAGTCTGTACACACAGCACCTGTTATATAACATTGTGTGTTGGCCCAGTGGCTCAGGCCCATTTTGTCTGAACAAATGCTGTCATTGAAAATCTGGTGTGGATCAAACAACTGCATCAAGAGCACCTGAAGATGTAGCACTGACCACCAGAGAAGATAAATAAAACCCTCGAGCACAGTAAGGTGTAGCAGGAGTTGCCGATGGCCGTTAAAGTTTCTTTTGTGAGTGTAGCACAGATGATCTGTGATGATGGTCTGATGTAAGAGTTACCTGTCAGACTTCAGTTCTGACTGCAGCGCTACAACTCTTGATTCGTCGTGATTTGGCCTATTTTGCTCTCCGCCTCTCCATGTTTCTGACACTGAATGTGTAAACTGCTAGCACCATTTCTTCCCTTCAAAATACTGAGCTATGTACAAACTCTAGAAAATCCTTTTCCTGTTAATTTTTTAAAAGCAGGTTTTAACCACTTCTGATTAAGTGCTTTGCATTGCTTAAGCTAATTAATTAACAACAGATGCCTAATCACTTATTTAATGTCAATCATTTCCTTCCTCAGACATCAGATCCATCTACGCAGCTTACTGGGACTGATAAATGGGAGGTTTTAACCCCCACATCAGCAAAGGATGAATGTGGAATGATACAGATCCAAAGTCAAGGAATATTAACTTCAAATGGACAGTATGTTCTTCCTCTCCAGAACTTACAGAGTCAGCCGATCTTTGTGACGTCGGGAACGGACGCCTCGTCTGCCAGTTCAGTGCCTAACATTCAGTACCAAGTAATTCCTCAGATTCAGACCGCAGATGGACATCTGAGCTTCTCCACTTCCGGCGTGGAGGGAGCGACTCTGACTCAGGATGCCACGGGGCAGATACAGATCTTGCCAGATGGTAGCCAGAGTCTCAGTGTGACGTCAGCTGCAAACATCCTTAATAACAACCAGAACCTCATATCACAGACTGGTAATGTCCAGCAGATCCAGGGGGTTTCTATTGGCAGCTCCACCTTCAACAACCAGGGTCAGGTTGTTACTAATGTGCCTGTGGGTTTGCCTGGGAACATTACCTTTGTTCCTATTAACAGTGTGGACTTGGACTCCCTTGGCCTGTCTGGTGCTCAGACCATAGCAACAGGGGTCACTGCTGATGGCCAGCTAATTATGGCGAGTCAGCCTGTGGATGGCTCTGAGAGTCTGGCGAAGACAGATAATCACCTCTCACAGACACTACAAGTAAATGACTCGAATGCAAATCCTGAGATATATGTGCCAACGTCTTCCTCTCAGCTACACATTCCAGCAAACGAATCAGGTCTGCTGACACAAGACACTTCATTGTCAACAGTAGCTACAGAGCAAGCCGACTCGAGTTCTGGGCTCCAGGAGGGCTTCATCCAACAGAATCAGGAGCAGAGCATCCAGGTGTCCTCAGCTCAGTCCATCATCCAGCTGCAGCAGGTGCCTATTCAGACCACCAACGGTCAGGTGGTCCAGTCAGGCGGGCAGGGCCTGCAAAACGTGCAGCTGATCAACCCGGGAACCTTCATCATCCAAGCCCAGACGGTGACGCCGTCGGGACAGATACAGTGGCAGACCTTTCAGGTGCAGGGGGTGCAGAACTTGCAGAACCTCCAGCTGCCCACAACACCACCCCAACAGATAACCCTGGCTCCAGTCCAGACCCTGTCGCTGGGTTCCAGTCCAGTCAGCATCAGCACGGGACAGATCCCCAACCTGCAAACAGTGACGGTCAACTCAGTGGCCCAACATGAAAGAGACGGAGACAACCCTGGAGGTACAGTTGCTCTTTTTATTATCAGAATACACGTAACCATGGTAAACCCACACAGGCCATTACACTTTGTTGCCCAATTAGACCTCTTCTCAGGTCTCTGTGGGCGTGATTGACATCTCCATGACTCTCCTGTTAGGTTGGTTGCATCTTTTAGGGTGGGAAAAAATTAGACCTGTAGTAGTATTATTATTATTATTATTATTATTAGTAGTAGTAGTAGTAGTCCTGAGCAGGCATGTCAACCAGAATAACTCACAACTCCTTTGAGGGTTCAGAGTTAAAATGATGTCCTCACTTTGTTTGATTATTTGATACGACAAATGTAACTAATTTTTCAATAAATCAGTCAATATGCCAAAAAAGTTTCTTAATTTACAATGATGTGAACTGGATATTTTAGAAACTATATGCAGCTAGTAGGTTGTTTACATTCAGCGTTTCAACAGAATATATTTTGTGTATCTTTAAAGCCACTTTGTGTTGAATTTTAATGTAATTATAGCTATCAAAACGTTGTGATGAAGTTTTTAATTGTAGCAAAGTCCTTCCATCCATTTTCTGCCACTCATGTGGGCGAAAAAGTCCACAGGGTACGTTTAATTAATTATCAAAATTGTATTTGATACATTCTCTGTCAATCAACTCATTATTTTATCACTGTGCTTAATATGGAGTTTTACTTGTAAAATGTGCTGCCATGCTGTCAGTCACACGCAATAATAAAGCAGCTCTCACTGTGCAGGCTTTTTTTGGGAAGTTTAGCAGAGCTTGTGCTGATGTCAACGTACACATTTATTCCAGACATTCAGATAAAAGAAGAGCCAGACTCTGGAGACTGGCAGCTGAGCACCGACTCCACCCTGAACACAAGCGATCTGTCTCACCTCCGCGTCCAGCTGGTGGATGAGGAGGATCAGTTGGGTCAGGAGGGCAAAAGGCTGCGCAGAGTGGCGTGTACTTGCCCCAACTGTAAAGAGTCAGGTGGGAGGTGAGTAAGCCTGACTGGTGCTTTACTCTCTGCAGGGATCGTACAGAGTCCTGAAAGTTTGGAAAGTGCTTAATTTTAACTGCTTTGTTTTCAAGGTTAGGGATATGCATGAATTTGAATGTAGCCCTTGAAGATTGCTCGATTTTCAACATAATCTGGTGTTTGATCTACACAAAAATGAAACACTGCCATCATCTTATTGTTTTGTTTGTTTTCCTTTGTTGAGCATTAAATAATAAATACAATCAACGTTACAATGAACAGCTGGTAACATTGACAGTGTGTGTTGACTGCCCTGTCTATTATGGAATACTGTAAAGTAATTTTTTTTTAATACTAACAGTTTAAATGTGATGATAGATCCTTTGAGAGCCTGGCAATTTTTGGTTTAGGTACCTTAAAAGTGCTTGAAAAGTGTTTGAATTTTACTGTTAGACCGTCTCTGACTTTTCACATTCTGTACAGCTCTGCATAGGTAAAAAAAAAAAAAACAACGTATCAGGGCCTTAACTCTCCATACCTGTGTTTCTCAGAGGATCCGGCACGGGGAAGAAGAAGCAGCACATCTGCCACATTGCAGGCTGCGGGAAAGTATATGGAAAGACATCGCACCTGCGAGCACACCTGCGCTGGCATTCAGGGGAGCGACCTTTTGTTTGCAGCTGGATGTTCTGTGGGAAGAGGTTCACACGCAGCGACGAGCTGCAGAGACACAGGAGAACACACACAGGTGCCCTTTTTTTGCTCCCTCAGTGTTTGCACATCAGGAAAACATCAGTAAAATCAGTAAAATGTGCTAATTTGTGCCCTGCAAAGCGTGAGTCACATAAGAAATGACAGCGTTTGCACTTCTCTGGATTCACATGTAAAATGTCAGGTTAGGAATTGAGGACCAGTGTGATAAACACATCCAGATTCCACCAACTTGGTGGTAATTTTCCAGTTCAGAATGGAGTTTAAACAGTTTGCCCTGTAGTCTAATTTGCAGGATCTGTTAACATCAGATTATATAACAAAAACTGTGCAAATGCCAGCATCTCTTGTGAGCTACATTATTTGTATCCCATGATTCTCCTTTGAATCTGAACTCCCTTGTATCAGCTCACCTAATCTGTTTTTAATTTTATAGAAGATTTAAATGCAGTTGTCATCATGAAGTACAGAAGAATGCATGAAGTAGTCCTCTGCGAGAAATCCAGTCAAATATGCCAGCACAACATAATGATATACAGTATCTGATGACATTTACTGTCACGATAGACCTTTTGAAAGAGATATGACCACTTGTCGTACTCTTGTTGAATTTATAAACCCTGGCTGTATCATGGGCTGAGTGAGGCCTCTGACAGTGTGGGCTAAAGTAGCATTTCATTACGCTGTCAGCTTCGAGCTCAGACATTAACGGTTAGCGTTCACACTGAACTTTGCAAGTGGATATTCAATAATTTGATGTTTCTAATTGGAGAGAATTGTAAAGTATCTATTTGTCGTTTTTTGTCAGTGACAGGTTGGCATTATTAATTGAGTGATTAAAGTTGGCCCTGTGTCATTCAGCATTCAGCAGCACACAATAAAAATATATCTAATAAGAATTTTGATTTCAATTTAGACTAAGGTGTCAGTCCTGCAGGTTTTTATTTTATGGTGCAGCTTACATTTTCTTCAACTTTATTCATCAAACAAGTCAATTGAGCTTACGTGCCACTCCCTTAAACTCATCTCCTCGCCCATGAAACTATACCCCGCAGGTAGAGGGCATGCTCTCCAAATGTATTCAGCATCAAACTCTTTATCTATCAAACTATATTTTCTCTCTGGCAGGAGAGAAGAAGTTTGTCTGCCCAGAATGTTCCAAGCGCTTCATGCGGAGCGACCACCTGGCAAAGCACATTAAAACTCATCAGAACAAAAAAGGCGTGAACTCTGGCGGCGCTGTGGTGGCCTCGATGGAATCCGCGGGGTCCTCAGACAGTATCATCACCACGGCAGGCGGGACCACCCTCATCCTCACCAACATCCAGCAGGGTTCCAGCAACGCCCAGGACATCCTGGCCAACGCAGAGATCCCTCTCCAGCTTGTCACCACGGTAGCGGCCAGCGAAGTCATGGAGTGATTTACACTCCGCTTATGAACTTCTACAACCTCTTTCATACTGTATACTCCTACCTGCATTTTTATTCAAGTTTTGAAGAAAGCTAAAATTATAAATATATATATATATATATTTTAACACGGAAATAGTCAATCCATGTGAGTACTCAGTTTTTACCGAGGAAAAACTAGTAGTGGAGACTAAAAGAAGATAATGGTGGAAAAAGACATTGCAGTAAACACACAAGGAAATGCCTTATTTTGTACAATATTATGTCGGAAAGGTAGGATGCCATTTTGCTTTGAATCTACTTATTTTTTGTTATGTTGTGTTTTTCACAAAAAATGATTGGTAAGTTGAGCAATTTTCTCCTCGCCTTTTCTTTGATGGTATATTCTTATGATGTCTCTGGTAAGCAAGGTTTGTTCCGTATTCCTTTGAGCGAAAGACTAAATCTCACAACAGAGCTAATTTTATCCAGCTGAAGTAATGTTATTGCTTACGTCCATGCGAATTTACTCATTTTTTGTTTCTAAATATTATGCATCTTTTTTCTCTCTGTTGCAGTCGGTCTGCTTGCAACTTAGGAAGCCCTCCTTCTTCCTTTTTTTTTTTTTTTAAACTTTGCTCACACCTACTACATTTTGCAGGTGAAAAATCAAAACAATCAAAATTTTGTATTGTAAATCCTCTTTAACATATACTGTTGATATGATACACATTATTTGCTTATTAAATATTTTGACTGAACAGCTATTTATATTGGGCTTTACATAGGAAAAGCATTTGTGATATTAGAAGTCCCAAATATTTCAAATGGCTTCATTATATGTAATTCAGATGTGTTTTTGTAAAACCTTTTTCGGAGGACTTCAAAACAAAAAACATGCATTGTGATATGAAGAAGAAAAAAGCCATTTTTTGGAGGTAATTGCCAAATTTGACTACAAACTCAGGGTGACTTGTGACTGTGTGATATAAGTAGAGTAAATCACCCCTGTAGCTTCTCGGGCCATGGTGGGGTGTTGTGAAGAAATGTTATTTGATGGACCAAAAGCTGAGGTGAATTAAGCTGTCACCATGTTACCTATGCTGGTTGAATCCTACCATTTCTTTTTTTGTTTTGTTTTGTTTTTTTACAATAAGGACGACCCCTGTTCATGTTATAGAAAACAGCTTTGCAGAATTGTTGACCTCCATCAGTCCTATCACGCAGTTGGAAAAAAAAATCAGTGTATTACTGAAAGCGGTACTCTTTTTAACAGCACTGTTCTCATCACTTTCATCTTGTTGTTAATCCTTTTGTATGAAAAAAATGTTTTGTATACTTCCCAAGAAACTGTCCTTTATATTCATTGTCAGTAAATGTACAATGTTTCTGTCTTTGTGTTGACACGTTTTCTTTCACTGTATGTTGCATTTCCCTGTTCCATGTTATTATGTGTTTTTATTTTATCTCTGAACTCCAAATGTTGAATTGTTAAATTGAATACACATACGCACTGAACAGTGAATTATGGTGGCATATTTGATTTGGTTATACTTACCCTCTGAGTCAGATAGCAAGGTGCTACTGAAACATTCGAAGAGCATCTTTATATTGTGTACTAAACACTGAAGGTTTATTCTCACTTCAAAATCTTCTGTATAAATATGTCAATATAACATCAATATAAACCTTTCTGTTACACATGAATTTCCTTTCCTTTTTGCTTTATTTTATTTTATTTTGTTGCGTTAATGTATCAATATTGTACAATGTCTGCTTTCTGAGGGCAGCGTGATATTTGATACTTAAATGACACAAGTTAGAATTTTTCCTTTCACATGAAACCTTTTGTTTTGTGTCTTTTCAAAGACTTGACATCCAGCCAGGAGGTTCATTCTCCCCCTTCGGCTTACACTCTGGGTTACTAGTCCAGTAGATGTCACTACAGCCAAGGGAGCAGGACAAGAGGTATGTTTGACCCCTTGACCTTCCCCATGTAGCGCTGCTAAGATGAAGGCACAAGTCACTGAGGCCAACAGGAGGTGTGGACCTTCAATTAACCACAAGTTAATGTCACAGAAATGTCAGGAACATATTCTTCCGCTGGAGAACAAACTATTGTCTCATGACTTTGATCAGACCCTACAGAGACACGAGTGGTAACAGCTTCTATTTCTATGACCTGGAATCAGCTTTATTAGAGTGAATTATCAGGAAAACATTTTAAATCTGTCTTGGTTCTAGCTGTAAAGTGTGCACACAGTTTTTTGTCTCCACCGCTTTTGCCAGAATTAATGATAATTTCTTAATATTTTGACACATTAACCTGATATTAACAGCCCACACACGCTGCATCACTCGGTATCTCTTACACTAAATGGGACATTTTACTAATTAGGTACTGTTGCTATTTTTTCTTACATATTAGGCTCAGGACAACGGCATAAGGGAGTTAAAAATGTATTATGGCCTACCTGGTTTTAGTGCCTGTGAACATAATTAAAACGGTAGTCTATGAAAAGCTTTATCTGGTAAATCAGAGTGAAAAGCACATGCTTTTTGAATCTTAGTCAATTTGCTGAAAATGACTCAGAGAATGTGGCCTATAACGTTAAAAAGGACTCGTCCTTTTTGTCGTTCCTTTCATTTGCATAATTTAATGAATCCAATTCATTGTAATGCAATACCAAGTGCACCAGGAACATAGAATGACAGTTTGAGTTAATGAAATGTGTTAACGGTATCATCATTTACTTGTATGTTAATTAGTCCAATTAATTTCCCCTGCTCGGTAATCTGAATATTGTAATAATCTTTGCTCCCCTGCAGGAATGAAATCTATGATACACAGACCTCTGGGACAAGCTGAGTAGAGATTCATGGTTTTTCCTGTTGAAACGTTTGGCAGATCTGAAATATATTTTATAGGTCTGAGATTCAGGAATGTGTCTGTAATTTTTAGGGGGCGGGGGGGCATTTATACTTGGCTGTATATGGTCTGCATTCAGCTTTTAATGATGCAAAACACACCCACAGTGGGAAATGTATTGAGAAACGAAGGGCGATTGTCCGGTGCCAGAGCCGGGATAACTTTGTCTTGCTTGACAAAGTGCCATTGCCTCGTAACAGGAAGAAGCACGGTTCTTCTGGCCGCTGCAGATAAAAGCTGCCATCAGTGGGGGCAATCCTCCTCGGCAGGTTAAAGGAAGAAAGAGAGACCGCGTGGCGGCCGAGCGTGACACTGTCCACACACTTGTCATTTCAACTGACCACCTGGTTTAGAGGCTAACTTTGTTGACAGACTGCCCCAGCTTTTCTGTTATTGTACTAACGTGTATGTCAGCATCGACCTCAAAGCTGTTTGTAGGCCAGCTAATGAATCTGGAGACATAGCTTCAGGATATAGTTATTAAATTAAAGAATGCAAAACAAGTAAAACTCCTTGTGGCTTTGATTTGTTGAGGCAAACATGTCTTTTTCTGCACACATTTCCTCTTTGTTACTGATGTAGTTTGAACATTATGTGCAGCAAATTTAGCAAAGAACATAATTCAACTTGAGTCTTATTTTGTAGAGTAAAAGGAAAGCGTTTTTATTATTGTGTTTTTTTGTGATAGACAGGTATCATTTCAACCAGTGCTTACACTACAAGTTGTTTGTGTGTTTTTATTGTGGTAAATAGCTTTTGGTTCTCGTAGCTCAGTTTGAATAGCTTTGTAATTGTACATGGTGCTCAACTTCTCTTCCAATTCATGTGCAAAAGGCATAAATACAATAACTATGCAGAGGGAGAGGAACACTGTAATCATGCAATAACATTTCCAACTGTATGTGTGATAGAATTCAAAATGCTATTGGGATTATGGTTCTTAACCGTTGGGAGGTAATGTGAACTGTTGGCAGAAATGACTTATTTCATTATACCATCCCAAATATACAAAATACTTCAGCAAGAGGGCTGCTTCTTCCCTATCTCTGCCCAATTTGAACTGTTTTCCCCGAGTTGTTGAAGGATAGGCCTGCAATTTTGCAAAGTGACTATTATTTGCCTTTCTCAAGGAATCAACAACTTGAAAGTACAGTGCAATGAATTGTTGGGCTTCTGCAGCTGCATTTATTTATTTACAATATGTCTCCTCTGTGAAACATCTTACAGAATTTAGAGCATGAAGCCTTTATTTAATTTCCTCTTAGATATGAACTCTTCATAAGTGAAAAGCACTTACCATCCTGCTTAATATTTTGTTTACAGCAGGGTTCTAATGCTTTTTTTTTCTTCTCATAAACCATTAGAGCATTTGAAACGACAGAAAATAGTGTCCTGTGTTTCTACATTCCTGACACATTCTTGCCCTTGATCAACTGCAGAAGGCAGACAATAGCGCAGATCATTTTCCCCGGGCAGGCAAACACAGCATGGATCAACTCAATAACCTGATATTCCCTGTCTACTGAATGTGGCCAATTTAGCAGAAGGTCAGCGCCTTTTTTTTTTTTTTTTTTTTTATTCCAGAGACAATTTGGTGACCTCCCTCTGGAGCCCCAGCAGGACCAGCAGAGACTAACAGAATCGTCGAGCTTGAAAGTGCTTGTGTTGACATTGCGTTTAGGTATGGACTTCTCAAGGTGAACAGATACCTGGTGTGGGACAGGGGGGCTATTATGCAAACCTGATATCCACGGCCAGAAGTCGCCTTGTGGATTTAGTTTCTCATGTGTTTTTGGCAATTATTTACAGTGTCAGGGTGGATGTTTAAATCTAAAGATGTGCACTGGGTAGAAAAGTATGGTGTATATCTGTTGGTGTGGCTGCAAATCATCTTCCATCATCCTTTTACATGCAGAGGTGTCATTCACTGCTTCAAATTAAACACTCTTGTTTCAGGAAAATTATGGTCTTACTCTATGTTCTATTTCAGGAGGGTGGAATTCAGATTTGGTCAGTCTTAGCTGTCTTTATTGTAAAATGTCTCTGTCCTGCTGTTTTGCATTTACTGTATGTATGTTTTTTTTTCCAGATCCAGCTGTGAAAATTGAATCAACAACAATGAGACACCTCCATCAGATTTTCCACATTATGTTCTTTGTGCTTGCACACAGCGTGTGTCTGATTTTAGTAAAGAGACAATTGCATAAGATGATGTTGAGATCCATGAGAAGATTAGGAGGGATCGTTTGTCACAATTCCTCGCAGCAGTCATATAGTTTTCCCACTGTAGAAATAACTCTGTCTTTATTGTCCACCTCAAGGTCAAATGAGACAACAGCTTCAACTTCCTCGGACTCGAAAAAACTGCAAGTGTACGCTCAATATTGTCTTTGGGTGACAAGAGCTGGCCTTCAGTGCTATTCAGCCCATTGAAAACGATTTCAGATAAGAAAAGAGACGTTTTGTATCTGAAAATGTACATTAAATGGTGTCAACAACATCTCGGAGGTCAGAGTAGAGTCCCCATGGAGACTGAATCTGGCTGCTGCGCTCGAAGACTCGACACCCCCCTGAGTGGCGGCTCTGTGATGGCTCTCAGTTTCTCTCGTCATGTCCCTGGCAGCTTTGACACAGGTAATATGCATGCAGGCTGACAGTGCCTGGGATGTGCGGCAGAGACAATGATGTACATATCATTTTCCTCCCTGACTGATTGAAGACTGTAATCTGTGCTGGACTTTCTCTCTGATTACACACGTCTCAGGGAGCAAAACAAGGACTCTGAGCTGCCACTGGGCACTGGACTCATCCAGGGCTTTCAGCCTTCAAGAGGACTGAAGTCCGCCTTTAAGGTGAGCTCAATTTTCGTCCCATTTACACTATTGTTACAAGTGTCGGATAGAATGCATCTGGTAGATAGTGGTCAAACAGTGGCTGTCTGAAGATGACACAGGAACAGAGATGTATCCGGCACCCAAGGTCATCCTATTCCCATCTCCGGCACTGTCACAAATGTTTAGAGCTTCTGTAAAGGCACACTCACAAAGAGAAACAATATCATGAATTTTGCATTCACTGGCATTGTGCTCTGTGCTTGCAAAATGCAAAGTACAGCTCAGCAGGCCAATACTAAACCTGTCCAACAAGACCAACCATGAAATGCAGACAGAGAATATGTTGCTCTGCTATAATACTCCATTGTTCTCTGCACAATGACAGAGCTCCACTGGTTAAATAATAATGAAGCAAACCAGCATTTCAATTTCTTTCCCCGCATATGTCATGTTTGCAAATAGCGCTCTCAGATGTTTAACACGCCCTTAACCTGCCTGCGTAACCTTGTGCGGTACACTTGTGTATTTATGTAAAACCTGAGCGATTTGTCTGTTGACAATAGGTCAATCCGTTACAGAAGTTACCTAGCACATTACAAGGTTGGTCTCAGGGGAGAAGTAATGGGTTCTGGGCAATTGACCAACCTGCCATGCTTTAGTGCACCTGCACTGAGTTAGAGCTGTCATCATTACCACTTCCTCTAACGTTCCCCCACAGCAACCCAGACACTCCCACTTCCAGCGATATTTCACTTTGGTGGAACATTTTCACTTTTTATCATGCATCCCTTCGTAGACGAGTGGAGGCAGTCTAGCTTTAAGATTTGAAGCAGTAAGTAACCTCTAACGGGCCTTTGGGGTCCGCACTAAAACATAATGTTTCCAAAATAGCTCCCAGTCACCAAGCTATGATTCTGACTTAAACTTTTCAGATTGAGAACCAT